GATGTAACTTTTTACATTAAGCTCAAATTGCGAAAGCAACAGATGTAGCTATCTTCAGCTACGTATTTTAAACGAATACTTGAACGGGGTCTTCGCTAGTTTTCTACGTATTTGACGACAGAGCGAGTCGCCCTTGAATAGACATGTTACTGAACACGGGTGGTTTGTATTAAGTCATTGTGCTAAAAGAAACCGTCTCCAGTCTCGGCAATATAATAATCTCGCTACCTCGGCTTCGTCTTAATCGATGTGGAGTCGTTGAGAAAAAACACAGCTACCAACACCATATAAAAATGCAGGTAGTCGCAGAGTTTGTGAGAGGTTAGCGAGCGACGGGTACTTGTCATTAAAAATGCACTTGTTTTTCACAGTAATGACGCATAGCTGCAGTCTGCTAGTTTAATGTTTCCGGATAGACACCACAAAACCATTGCACAAGCAGAAAGACTAAAATCCTCACGATTCCATTCGAAGAATCAGGAGAAGGTTTCAGTAGATGGAAAAGCCCTAAGATCCCCTCTTCAGTAATTTTGTACTGACCACTGAAGAAGTGTTGGTATAGATGGGCTTAACGAAACTGGTTGGTTCCTGTTACAAGCAGAAATAGGCAGTCATACTGAGCAGTCAATGAGTACTAATAAGGATGAGATGTTATTCCCAGCCCTCACATCTTATGCTACTAACCCCGACTTTCCAAGTAGAAATGGACCAAGTAAAGAGCCAGTGGCGCAATCGGCTAGAGCGTCAAACTTCTAACCAAGAGGTTGCGCGTTCAACGCTTGGGGTTGGCTATGGCTGACTGATGACGGCTAATAAGTCTGAAATGGCCATTTTTTTCGGTAATGCCAGTCTGCTCATATCACTACCTGCTGGCGTGGCCTGAAAATTGGCAACCTATCGCCGCAAACCAATTACAGCCATTGTGTATAAGTTACCTTACCACTTACGCAATCACTGCCTTGACTTGCTGCGTCAAAATCTGCTTGCTAGTAAAAAAAGCATCAACGAAAAGGGCATCTTTATCAGAGCACCACGTCTGTTAAGGGTTCACCAGGCACCAACTGATCGAATTACTAAATTTTCTCAATGATAAGCGTCCATGAAGAGCTCATCCCTCAATGGCATCTCTTCTCGTGTTATTATAACCCAAAACTTCTGTTAGATAACTTTGCCCGAAAAACGTTCAGTAGCCTCCGGGGCCTTAACCTGTACAAAGCCTGTTCAAGAAGTGCTCTGCGGTGGGAGTAGTGGTTATACAAACTTACATTTTTGGCATGTATGGGTTTCATCTTTTTAAGAAACTGGTTCTTCATTATACCGTTTGCCCATGCACGTTGCAGTTTACAGGTAAGCTCATTGGTGCATTTAAGGTTCAGTTAAGGTTTCATGTAAAGTGGGAGTCGGGGGAAACCTACCGTCTTGTGCTCCTTTCTACCTTCCGTCCGTCCGAAGCGCTAGATGGACATGCCGACCGTACTTTTAACTGCGTTTGCTACCAGCGCACAGCACATGCATTGCACATGCATTGCACAAGCACCGCACACAACCAAAGACACGCACACACACGCACACACACACACACGCCTCAGCCCTTTCCCCTTTCATGTATTTGACTCAGCGCTGCCACTTTAATTGATGCGCTACGATGGGAGGCACACGCACGAAAAGTCAGCCTCGTCATCATCATTACCCCTCGCACAATGGCGCGACTATTGGCGGCGGCAATCTCAGGGGGGCGGTGGTAGTGG